CCATCACCACCACCACCACTACCATCATCATCATCATCACCATCAACACTGCTTCCATTGGTACAATTCGAAGCCTATGACCCCAGGGGTCAGATTGGGCTCCACTCACACACACAATCAACATTTCTTTTAAAGAGGAAAAACTATCTTCCAAGAGAGCCTAAGGCCTGGAGTGTGTCTCCTTTTCAACATCGCAGGGTTGCAAAGGTAGCCTAAAAGCTGTGAGAACTCGGGGTCAAGGAGCTAGAAGAGAACAAGGTCAGATAATCCCTTAAGCAATGTGGTTTTCTGTTTCTCCTGTCATTTCTCCATGTGGTCTCTCCTCCTCTGCCCCATCCCCCACACTTGCAAATTGGTGGGGTTTCCTCCACTTAGGATCCCTGATGTTCCTGGCTGTCTCCAAGGCTGTTCTGCAGTTTGTGGGCAGAGGAAAGTTATCTGCTACCTAGAGCTCCCTCTGCTGATACGCAGGGTGGAGGACCGGTGGCTGGAAAACCAGTGGCTGGAAAACCTGCGGTTTCAGAAGCACAGCTGGGGGTCTGGCAGGGCCTCTGGCCTGATCAAAAGCTGTTTCCTTCTCTTGGGTGGAGTTGGGGGGCAGGGTACAGCTGATGCGTGTCCATGGTCTCATGGCTTTCAGGGGTGTCTGGCACCCTGCCTCCTCTGACTTCCTTGTGCCCAGAAAAGCTGGCGTTGGATGCGCTCGTCAGAGAACCAGGGATCCCCAGCGATAGGAAGGTGTTCTGTGCATAACTCTCCCGCTGATACTCAGAAACAAGTGGCTCATGTTTATGATTTCTGTTTGATACAGAAGTGAAACCTAGGGGGAGGTTTTTAATTTTTTTAAGAGCAAAGTCAGGGTCAATTGGTAGAGTCTGGGTTAAAACAGGTTCTAATAAACCAAAAAGAAACAGACACATGATTAAGATATTTTTAAAACCCCACCTATTTGACTCATGAAGTTCATTTAATTCAGGAGAAGGCATGCCGTGTTCTAGTTCTCCAGCACCTTCTGGCAGGACTACCTGAGGGAAGGGGAGAGCAGGTTCTTGACGAACCAACTTCCCATTGTGACCAGGCTGACATTCCTTCAACTCTGCCACTGGCCAGTGCCAACATTTCATACGAAATACGTAACATCCCTAGCAGCCTTAGGACCTCGATAGTATTATTTGTCTTCACCTTTTATAGATTGGAATATTGATTTTCGGTAACGTTAGCAACTTGTTTAAACTCGCACAACTAAACTGTTCCTGAGATGCTGATGGAGTCTGCGAACTTGTAAGCACCATACTGTGATCCACCAGCTGGTGTTCATTCCCCACCCAATGTTTACTCAGTGCCCTGGACTTTGCGAAGGGCCAGAGAGAGCAGAGATTAGTTGAGAAGAGGTTCTTGTCCTTGGAGCAAAATAAATAACTTGCCCTCTATCAAAATAAAGGACTAGATTTAGTGCCACTTCCTCCAGGCAGTCTTCTCTGACTACCTCTTTCCCCCTCCTATATTTTTGGACTGTCATCATTGACACTATCCTACTGTTATCAAGAAAACAGATAATACCTGATATTTATTGAGCACTTGCTATGTGCCAGTCCCTACAGAAAAAAAAAATTCTTTACGTGGGTTATTTGATTTAATCCTTATAAGAAATCCTTACATGATTATTCCTGTTATAATCCCCATTTTACAGACGAGGAGGAAACTGAGGCATAGAGAAGGTAAACAACTGAAAGTCTCAGTTGAGTGTGGCAGAACCAGAGATCTGTTTGACAGCTCCTTAAGGCTGAAGAGCCCCCTTTTTCTGATTTCCCTCATAGCCCCTGGCTTAGCACTGGGCACACGGGGAGCTCAGAGGACTTGCTGGCTGATTTACTCTCCCATACTCAAAGATAATGATGAAATAGGATTTAGGGGTGGGGATGGGGAGGGAAGCCCACAAATCAGCTGGAACTTCCTTAGAGCCCTGGCTCTCAGTTACCGCGAGAGTAGGAACCATATTTAAAAAGAAAAATTCCTTAGGGAATCTTCCTCATATCTATATTTCACTCACCCAGCATGATGCCTGGTGCATAATAGGGTCCAATACATCTGTGTTGAATGACTGAATAAGCTTTAAAAATTCTAAAAAAACTTGCTGCTGTTGCTAGGGCTGCTGCTGCTGGTCTAAGGCGGTACTCGGCTCTGTCCTCTACAGCAGGCTCCGTAATGATGCTTGAGGGGCTGTCTGTCTGTCTTGGCTCAGGAAGATGGTCTCAGCGACCCTAGGAGCTTGCCTTCCTGCTCCTCTATCTCAGGTGATTTTTCATCCTAAAAGTCTCGCAGAAGCTGTTTATGGAATCCATAACCTGCCCCGAGCTTTTAAACCTCTTTCTCGTGTGGCTTTTTACGAGTTGAAGTAAACAAACAACTCTCTCTCTCTCCAGGGACTTGGGGGCCTAGATCCTTAACCTTACTCCTTTAGCCCGTGGTCCCCGAGGGAGCTGAACCAGAGCGTGGGCCCCAAAGGACTGTGGTTAACATGTCGCGTGCAGGAAGTAGATAATATCACTGCTGCTTAGAGGAAAAATGCAGCCCAGACCTTGAAGCAAAGATGGGCCTGAGGGGGAGGGAGGAGCGTCCCAGCCCCTGCGGGGATTGGGAAACTATGTTTAGACCCTGAGGAAGAGTTCTGGGGATATGACATGATGCTCTTAGGGACCATCTCATCCAACCCCACACTTGGCATCAAAGGACAGGAAGTCCTGGGAGGGGACTGACTTGCCCCAGGTCGTGTAGCACCACAGTGGCTGCATGGAATAGATAATGGTGGCTCCCTCCTGTGAACCTTTTCCCTTCTTTCCATAAGAGCCAGATCCCTGCAGAACATCCAGGTGGTTGCAGGAGAGCTGGCTTCTCCCAGGGCCAGAGGTGATGTATGGGACTTGGTCAGGCTGATCAGTACATTCTATCTTCCTGGCCACAGTGCTTGGTTTAGGGGTAATCTAGGACCTAAAGCTGGTTCAGTCAGAGAGACTCTCTGGGCCTTTGATGGGAATGCTGGGAAATGGGAAATATGGCCCCTCCTTCTCCTGGGCTAGAAATGAATGAAAGATACAAGCAGTGTCAGCAACTGATGCCAGGCTGACATGAAGAGAGAGCCTCCGGATGAAGCCGACCCTGTGAAAGGCAGAGAGGAGAGATGGAAAGAAGAGGAATCCTAGGCCACAGTTCTGAGTTGCCAGATCAAACCTCATTTTCTTGGCAGTCACTCGCTCCACCCTCATGCACCGACAGCACTTCATGCACCCACAGCACTCCATGCACAACTTTAAAGTGACTCCAACCTCACTGCATTGTAATGACGGACATCTGCATCTGGCTCCTCCTCTAGACCCCAAGCTTGGGGAAGGGGAAACTTGACCTAACTCACCTGTGGATGCCTGCACCTGGCCTTGTGTCCGACACAGTTTGATGTTCGTGGACGCTTGTTGAGTGGGTAAAACGATCTCTTTCCCCTCCTTGCCTCCTTCTCTGATGGATCCTTGTTATTCCTCCACTTTTTTCTTTTTACAGATTAGGATAAGATTTAAAAGCACGATGGACAAGATGCAAAATATTCACTTCACAAACGGGGTTTGTCTGCTATTTGTATTCTCATAGTGTTTCGTCCCCCCCCCCAACACACACTCCCATTTCTCCCTCTATCCTCTCTGTGTTCAGGGCTGCTGTGTAGAAACACTGGGTGAGAGGACAAGAGGGGGAAAGACTGGAAAGACTGAGTCAGAGAAGGCTGGGGATGAAACTTGAGTCCTTTGGGACCCTCTTTCCAAATCTTCATTGACAGAGGAGGGAAGCTCAGGCCCAGGGAGGAGTTCTCCTGGCTCAAGGTCACCAGAACAGTCCAGTCGGAATGGAAAAGAGCTCTACTTTATAGGGCAAGACCTGTTACCCCACGAGCTGATCCCTGCCCCCACTGGAAGGCAGGCTTCAGGATGCTTGGGAAGAAGGACCTGGTAGAAGGCTCAAGGCCAGACCTTAGAGCTTGTAGCCTGTGCAGGCTGAGAAACTCCATGGGGTCCCTTTCCCACTGAAACACTCAAGTGTCAACCGGGTTTGTAGTCTCTTGGCTTGTGTGTCCTTAGGGACCTAAAAAGTGACTCAGTGAAGCACTTAGTACATCGTTGGCTCTGGGGAGTGGGAGTGATTCAGAAGTCACGCACAGAGGCTCATTCATAGCCTCCTCCCTACCCCTTCCAGCCAGGGATCCAAGGATCCTCTGCGTGAGACACTTCCGTGGCCCTGACACTCCTGAAACGTCCCTCACGTCTCCACCTGCCAAGCAGTCTTTGTGCGCAGAGAAGATTCCGGACTGCAAACTCCGGGGCGGGGAGCCTGCTCCACACAGCTGCCTCGTGCTTGCTTCCCACACCGAAGGCAGGATCTCAGGACCCCCCGATCTTCCTCACCCGCCCTCCCGTTGATTCTGAGATGGCCCACCCTCACCCAAAGCTCCCCCAGCTTGTTTGCCCCCGTCTCTTTTTCTCCACCGCGGGAACTGTTCCCCTTTCCCCTGCCCCACTCTCACTCCTGCCGTAGTAGGGGTCTGTCCTCTCTGTTTGCCCCCACCCCCTTCCTTTCCCTCCTCCTTTCCCTCCCTCGCTCCGCCCCCAGGCCCCGCCCCTCTCCGCCCCGGCCCGCGCGCCCCTCGCCCGTTCCCGGCCGTCCGCCCCCTGCCCCTCTGGGAGGGGTGCAGGCAGGCGAAGCCCGCAGGGTAGGCGCCCCCCCGTCCCTGCGCGCCGGTCCCCGAGCGCGCGCGCTGGCGCCCCACTCCGCGGCCTCCCGCTCCCCGCCTCCCCGCCTTCCCCTCCTCCTGGTGACGTCCGGGTCCCTGCCCGTCTGAAAACTCCGCGCCGCGGCGGTGGAGGCGGCGGCGGCGGCGGCGGCGGAGGAGGAGCAGCGGCGAGCCGAGGCGGCGGCGGCGGCGGCGGCCCGAGCGGGAGCCCGAGCGGCGGCCGGCGGCCGCGCGAGCCACGGGGAGCGCGGGGGCGGCCCGGAGCACCCGGGGTCCCCGCGCCCCGCTCGCCCGCCGCGCTCCGAAGATGGTGGCGGCGCCGTGCGCCCGGAGGCTGGCCCGGCGCTCGCACTCGGCGCTGCTCGCGGCGCTCACCGTGCTGCTGCTGCAGACGCTGGTCGTGTGGAATTTCAGCAGCCTCGACTCTGGGGCCGGGGAGCGTCTCGGGGGCGCAGCGGCCGGCGGCGCCGAGCAGCCGCCCCCGGCCCCGGCCCCGCGCCGCGAGCGCCGGGACCTGCCCGCCGAGCCGGCTGCAGCCCGAGGAGGAGGCGGCGGCGGCGGCCGCGGAGGACGGGGGCCCCCGGCGCGGGCACGGGGAGGCGGCGCAGGAGAACCCCGGGCGCAGCAGCTGGCCAGTCGGGGGGCACTGCCCCCGCGGGCGCTGGTAAGATGCCCCTACACCTTGGGTCCGGGAGCCCAGCAGCCCTGGCCCCACGCCCCCCAGCCCTTGAGCCCTGTGCATCAGACTGGGACTCCTCAAGCCCGCCGGCTCCACATCCCTTTTCCCTGGAAGGAGGGGTGGGGTCCCCGACAAGGCGTAGGGGCACGGGCTGCCCCATCCCGAGTCTAAGGACTGCCCCTTGGGGTCTGGAGAAGTTACCTCTAGAGGAGGCGCTTTGGGGGTTACAGGAGCTGGCTGGGTGCCTGTTCCTCGTCACTCTTTCTGGACGCTCCGACTTGCTCTGTGCTGTGGGTGTTGGTGCCTCCAACCCTGTCTGAGTGAGTGGATGGTGCCCGGGATCTTAAGCGGCTGCTCACGGGTGGTTCTCGCAGCATCTTTGGTTTTTACGGAGCGGGTGCAGACAACTCAGTGCCGGCTTGCCGCTTCGTTTCTTTGCCCTGGCCTGAGAGGGGGTCTGGGATCCGTGTCCCAAATCCCCAGCCGTGTCCCTGAATAAAGACTCAGTGTTGGGTGGCAGGACTTACTTTGGGTCTCACTCCCATCTCTGGGTGTCTGACTTCCTGTCTTTACCGTCTCAGTCTGTAACCTTGCCCTCTCCTTCTGCCCTCTCTGACTGTCCTCACCCTGCTCTCCAGTGTCAGCGTCTGGCCCCTTCTCCATGGTGTCACTGGCTCTCTGTCGCGTGTGTAGCTGATTCCTGTCACCAGCTGTGTCCCACCACGCCATCATGACTTGGGCTGCTACGGGTTTGGGTGTGAACAGTCTGGGCTCTGAAGCTGTTCCTTAGCAGGTCTTCTGGAGCAACTGGGTGCCTTCCTACTGTCCCCAGCTCCTTCAGGGGTGCTTTTCATACCTTCTTTGGGCTGCCTTGCTGAGCCCACTGAACTCGGAGCTCACAGAACTGGAGGTCAGAGTCCCCAACTCTGGGCCAGGGTTTCAGTGCTGTGTCTGTCTTAAGGCATAAGGAGAGCTGTGTGTCTGTCTTTACCTTCATCATGCTACTTTCTGTCTTTACCTTCATCATGCTACTTGCTTACGGGGAGGAATCTCCTAGCTCTTGGGGGACATTAGTCAACAGGGGGTAGTTTCAGCATCTCTGGGCACTGAACGTCTTTGTTGTTTGTCACTTCAGGAACCCTCCCTGAAGGCTGATATGCTAAACTTCTTTGAGTCAAGAAGACCCCCTTTGCCAGAGTGCAGCTCTTTGTGCCGCTGAGCTGATGATGCGATGGCATGTCATGTTGTTGGTCGCTGGTCTGTGTGGGCAGCAGGGAGCGGGCTGTCCCCCGTTTTGGGGGTAGGACAGGAGATTGAGATTCCTGATGGAAAACCAGAACATTCCCAATGCCCCGCAGCCTCTTATTTCCAGCAAAGGGTACTCTCAGATTCTGCCTTTGAACTCCAGGAGTGGATAGTGATATGTTTGGGCAGAGATGCAATTAGAAGTTGTTTCTGAATTCAGAGCCCTGCTGGGAGGTGGGTGGGAAGGGTTCCGGACGTGCACTGCTGGTCCCATGTGGGAACAAGTAGGATGGGCATGGGGCTTACTGTATCCTTTACATCTGGGATTTAGACTGGTGTCTGGAGGTGCCTTTAGGTGCAGATACCACCTGTTGAAACTAGCGAGAGGAGGAAGGAGGCCTAGTTGGCGAGTTTCTTCCAGGGTCCCTAACATTTGAGTACTCCATCCACTCCCCTACTTTGTGTGTATAGTTCTGTGTCCTGTTCTCTTTCCTCCCAGCTCAGCCACAGAGGTGTGCGGTGGGGCAGGCAGGTGGGAGCATGCCATTCCCCCATTTCTATTCCTTTTGGAATGTCAGGGCCAGCAGCAGAGTTGCTTTGCTTTTCGGAAACTCTGCTTTTATCTGCAAGTACAGTTACTGACCCCCATCTCTATCTCCCAGCGTCTCGATCTCTTTGCCTTGTGATATAGATGTATGTATTTTTTTTTTCTTTTTTCTGCCCTCCCCTTCTTCAGTATGCCATACTGTTGTTCACTGTTGTGTCTCCTGGATTCGTATTTTATTTTGTCTGCTTGTCTATCTCCTCTCTTTTTCCTCCCCTCCCCACCATGTACCCTTGTGCCCTGCTGGATCCTGAGATCACAGTGCAGACTTGCCAGGTGGGGCCAGGGGTCTGTCCTCCTCCGGTTGTGTGCCACCTCCCCCTCCTCCCCCCCAGCCCCTGCCCTTCCATGGAGCTCAAGGAGACCAGAAGGGGGCAGGCTGTTCCCAAAGTCTGATGTCGCATGAGCTTGGGTTGCAGGCTTAGAGGGGACCAGACAGTTTCGCCAGCCACTGAGGCCCTTGCAACACACAGTTTGTTTGCAGACCCTGCTGGGGCTGCTGGCACGGTGCTTTGGAGCTGGATTCAGGAGAGGGATGTTAAAAAAATGCCCTGTCATTTTCCAGCTGGCTCTTGTAAAGAGCTGGTAAGGCACATACTCGGGAGATGGTGCTTAATCTCTGCTCTGTTGAGGTCTGGGGATGGGGTGGGGTGGGCACTTGTGCTTCTTACATGCGGACCGAACCTGTGGCCCTGGTGGTGGTGGTGCTGTGTCCCAGAGACTGTCAGGCAGACACGGAGCATAGAGCACTTTCTAAACCAGACCTTGCTGCTTCCTTGTGCCCACCCACCCAGACCTTCTGTACTTGTACCTGTTACGTTTGAGGAGCTGCACCCCCGTCGAAGGACCTGATGGTATTTTTGGTGCATTTTAAGAGAAAAACACCAGTTTCTTCAGCAGACAGAGCCAGAGAGCCCAAGGATGGTGGCAAGATGGACATGTCCCTAAAAGATTTGCGAACTTCCCTTTCCCTTTCACTCTCTCAAAGCTCTTACATATTGGAATTACTGGCTGGATGGTAGCTGAGTTTTGTGGCTGTGCAACAGATTTTTTTCATTGGGGTCTCCAGTAAACTGGATGTTACTGTCATTTGAGAATTTAAGAAACAGTTGGGCTTGGTTCTAAAGGGAGGGGATACTGGGAAGAGTGTCAGAAAGTTCACACTACAGGTTCTGAATAGATTTGAGGAAAATGGAGAATTGCGTGTGTTAGTGTAAGGAATGTTTATTTCTTTTCCCGTTGCCTCCAGTGATCCTCTTGAAGTCCTCATGTTTATTGCCTGTGCCCTTAGATAAACTGTTACTCAATAAGTTTCATTTAAGAAACCCAATTTTTATTACCCTTGCGCGCGCGTGCACACACACACACACACACACACTTCAAGTAAAACAGGGTTTCTGTATTGTCTGACCCCTTGGAAATGTTGATTTTTCGGCAGAAATTCCTCATACTTCACATTACTCAGATAACTCGGGATGTTTTGAGATACTGGCAGTGACTTTGAAAAATTGGTTCACTGTACCCAGAGCGCCTCTGGTTCCAGCAGCCTCAGAGGCGTAGCTTTTCTTTCTATCCAAATGTTTTGAGACTACAGAGAACAGAGGGTATTTTATTGACGGATTTTTTTTTCACACTCTCAATGGAGTTTTATTTTGCTTGAGCAATGCATTGCACTTTGTATACAGAAATATGCATCATCGAACAATATTTATCTTACTGCAAGTGTTGCCATCTGTTTAATCACATACTGGAAAATGTTAAATAGATAAATAAAAGGAAAAGTGATTATATAATAGGTATATATATATTTTTTGTATGCATCCATATATATATAGTATGTCTGTGTATACATATTACATATATACAGGGTGGGGCAAAAGTAGGTTTTCAGTTGTGAGTATGCAAAACACAGAGTTCATTCTTGTGTTGTTATTTTTTGCATTGTTTCCCATATGAACAACTGTAAACCTACTCTTGACTCACCCTGTATAGACTTTCCTTCCAGGTTCTCTACACGTTAGACTTTCTCTCTCGTTTATCCATTTTTTTAGAAATAAAATCTTTCAGAAGCTTGAATGACAAAATGCTTATTACAGTTTCACAAATAAGAAGCCAAGGCATAAATTCCTCTGCTGGGGATTGTCCAACTTTGACCCATGGCCTTAATAGAAAAGGAAATTTGGTGTATTGAGCTAGAGCAGATACCTGACGTCAGTGTGTGTGTGTGTGCATGTGTGTGCGCATGTGTATGTTTTCCAGAAAACAAAATGTCCTTAAGAATATCTGTGGAGTAAGGGTCTGGCCTCCCACCCAGAGCCAGGTGTGGCCAGTGGGGCGTGCATCTAGTGCAGGAAGACTAACAAGCCCACTGCCAACGTAACTGCTGCCTAGGGTGAGGGCTGCTCTCCTCGCCGTCTTTTGGTTAGTCCTGCCCTAAACTTGCCACTGATGGTAACTCTCCTGTTTTTTCCCTTTGTATTTCCCCATTTTTACTGACGCCGGTCCCCATCAATCAGAAACAAAGAGAAAATACTTTGGGAATAAAAAAGAAAAAAAGAAAGAAAGAAACCACAAACTCAACCCCAGCAAAACCCAAGTTTGAAGGGAAGGGGTGTGTGAACAGCAGAGAAAGTCTCAGAAAATGTGTCCCAGGCCTTCGCACAAAGGGAGACCTCAGCTCAGTGTGGTCGGGTCTGATATTCCTGGGTTCACGTGCTGGCTCTGCTCTCTGCCATCTCCATGATCCTGGGCGAGCCATTCTAACGTCACGCCTCTGAAAATCGGGGCTCTCTCCTAGGCTTGTGCGAGGATGAGGTGTAAGAACACTTGTGAGCCGATTGGCGTCTGGCACATAATACATGCTCAAATGTGAGCTGCTGTTCTTCAAAAAAGAAACTCTCAGTATGTTTGAAAATAACCAGCCTCCCTCCCCCCCCCACGATTAGCACCCATTTTCCATTGCTAAGTAGAGTCTGAGAGAAGCCCAAGGCAGTAGAAAGCAGCATTTCCTGTGTGTGTGATCCTTGGAGCAGGATGCAGCGTGGTGGGGCAGGACTGGCAACATTTATTGAGAGCCAGCTGTAGGCCAGGCATCCTTTAGGTGTTCCGCGTACGTTATGCTCACACCCTCCCCTCA